TGAGAGTGACATTGAGTGAGAGTGACATTGAGTGAGAGTGACATTGACCCATCCTGTCTGGAGTGCGTGGCCAGGTCTTAATTCTTACCCCTAAAATTCAAGAGACAGGAACCTGCTCAATATAGTTTTAAGCAAGCAGATGGGTAGAACCTTGCGAGACTTTAGGAGAATTTAAGACTTCCTCAGGAATCGCGGGAGAAGGAAAACAGGGCTGTCTCAAGACTAGAATGAACCAGGCTCAGGCTAGTGGCAGGGGCCAGAAGTAACTCCCAGCATGCCCTCTTCCTTGGGCTGTGTAGCTTCTCAAGTCAGCTCTCTGAGTATTTGTTTCATTTCCAGATTCTGCAGCCCATTCTCCCTGGTTTTCTGTTCATGTGGGCAAACGTGGTTGCCCAGCCTGGTACCCTCCTGCCCTCACCTTTCCTTTAACACCTGGTGAAGAGCTAGGAGTTTAGTTTCCTAGTCATGGAAACAAGAGTTTGGTTTATTTTCACCCAAGGCCTTGGAAGTGACTGTGGGTCTGGGGTCTTTGATTTCATTTGAAATGCACCTGGTTTATGGGATGTCTTCCTGCTGAGGGAGGGAGCAGTTTCCAGGGAAGAGGATGACAGATCACACGGGGGCAGGTGACCAGGGTTGACATCTCCTCATACGAATTATCTGTGACAGATGATTTTCTTTTTATGTTGGAGCTTTCCTGATATGAGGAGCATTTTAGAAGCCACCTCCCTGGGAATCTGTGCTCCATGCCTGGATCACGTGCCAGCAGGTATCCAGAGCCTCTCTGGGAGAGGCTGTCATTGCATAGTGCCTCTGACTTGTATTACTTGTGCAGTGGTCCATACTACTGTCTCTGTGCCTTGAGCACAGTCAGTCAATTGTCTTACATTCTCACAGCAGAGTTTCCTGGCTGTGAAATAGCCTCAGGTAGAACCATCCTATCACAAATCCCAGCCACGTGGACCCGACTCTCCAGGCTCACATGCCAGAGAACATTTATAAATAAATCACTCTCGTCTGACCTTGGCCACATTAACTCAGTTGGTCTCTAGCTCCTCTTATCCAGGATGAGCAATACCAGGCCTTGGGCTGCTGGGTGGATTTTCTGGGATGCCATTTGAGAAGGCTCTTTCCCTGAGTCTGGCTAATGATGGTGCTGTTTTCTCTTAGTCTGGCCTCCTGGGTTGTTCAGTGCAGCCCACATCTATAAAGCATGGGTAGGAGGCCCATCTCTTCCTCCAAGTTAGCAAGGGAACATTGCAGGACATGCCACTGCATGCTGAGCCCTCTCACCTCCTGTCCTGCTGCCAGGACAGTGAAGAGTGATGACCAAAGCCTTTGGATTTGGATATTGTTAAGCTG